GACCCAACAACCAGGGTTTATCTTCTTAGTTCTGGCTGGTTCTGGTTACCAGGATCTAATTAGCTGCTGAGATTCTCCCATCCGGTTTGGATCGGACCGGATCGGATCGGCAGAGTTTGCTGATAAGCGGCTCATTATTCTGGTTTTTATTCTGACAAGTTTCTCTGATTACCAACATGGATCTAAAGGTGATCTTAGTGGATCTGGTCCGCTCCGACCTAATATCAACACGTGATATTCCACGTGTTGGATCGTGTCGGCCCGATGTCGCGGTGTTGGATGTTAAATGTGACGTTCAGCCAATCAGAAAGCGCGCTGACAGAAACATGGAGGGAAATCCTAAATACAGAAAACAAAACGACTATGGCCTGGTTTATTTCTGTTAAATGTCGTCCATTAACTACTGCCGCTGCTGCTTCTTCGTCGGCCATGTTTGTTTCCTCTGAACTCACGTTTTGTCTCGATTTTGTGATATTTCCTGTCTGAATGTAGGAGAGTGAGGTCGTTCGTGAGGTTTGTTGCTCCGCAGGTGAATCTCTCAGTTTGAAAATCAGGCAAAATGTTTAAACTTCTGCTGTGTGAACCAGGCATAAATTTACCTCGTTGAACATAAACTGATTTATAATTAATTTCCTCTGAAAATGGTCAGAAACGGCGTAAAAACTTAGCCTTCAGAAAGTTTGATCAAAGTTTGTAGGAACGTTTAACGACCTCCATGGAAACACACTGGATAAAGGTTTGACCTTTAACCTAACAGCCTCTCCAGGACTGATCTGACCTCTACGTGACCTCTGCAGCAGCCTCTTACCTCCCCGGCGCTGTGGCTCCGTTGGCGGCTCAGGTGCTGGCGGTGGGCCAGTAGCCCGGTGGAGCGCGAGCTCTGCAGCGGCAGCCGGGGGTCAATGAAGGTCGTCGACCGACAGTTGTGATCCACAAAGAAAGGCTGCGGGTCAAAGTCACAAACCCTTAGAAGCTGAGCTACCGACGTCCTAGTCAAAGTCAGGAAGCTGGCCCACCTTCCCAGTGTGGTCGTGCTTCATCTCCCAGCCGCGGGGCAGCTCCAGCTGCTTGTTGGCGAACATGTTGAGGAAGGTCACGAGGTCGCGGTTGTGCTGGTAGCGCTCGAAGTAGTGAGCGTCACGCCGCACCTTGCTGATCATGTGCTTCAGGCAGGTGTTGCTGGTAAACATGCGGTAGGCACTCTGGACAAAACGCAACGGCAGCAACCTCAGATTAGCTCAGGAGGCCCGACCCAGGTGGTGACCAGCAGAGAACAGCTCAGGTTAGAAACAACCAATCAGAGGCAGAAACTCAGAACGGAGATGCAAACACTGAAAACCAGCAAATCAGACTTCATGGATCCACTGGTTCAACTGGCTGACCTGAATGAACTGGTTCAACTGGCTGACCTGAATGAACTGGTTCAACTGGCTGACCTGAATGAACTGGTTCAACT